GCACCCTGACCCTGCTGGACACAGGAGCACCAGCTCGCACCCTGACCCTACTGGACACAGGAGCACCAGCTTGCACCCTGACCCTGTGTCACTGAGGCCTGCTCCTGCCAGACCTGTTGCTGCAAGAGATCCAGACACAGGAGCACCAGATGAGAGCCAGGACTGTCCTCTTCTAAAATAGTGGATACAGAAAAAGAAACCTGTCTTCCATACATGACCACATCACAAGTGTATGGACAGGGAGATGGTCAATTTCAGAGAAATAGCGCATCTGACTATTGGCAGGGAGGCCAACTTTCTCCATTGGAGTAATACAGATTTGAGCCAATCATTTGTATACCCTGACATCACACTGAAGCCATCCAGAATAGAAAACAGAGTAGGCAAGGACTGGACACCAGCTCCCAATAGGGATATTAAAACAGCGTTAACACCCCTCCTAAGCAGATATGAGAAAACAATTCAGGAGGAATGCCATCAATACCTGGCAATTTGCTCTTAGCTCCGACAGAGATATGGGCACCTCCCATACAACTTCCTTTGCAGCCTGGAGACTAGGAGAACAAAGGAGAATTTGTTTTAGGATAGAAATGGTAAGTTGTGGCCTGCAGAGCCACAAAGCTTGTGGCTTGTGGCAGCTGGCTGCCTTGAAAGCAATAGTTATACTTTGATCCACAATGAAGAAGTTATCTCCAGCTGGTGTTCATGTTTGTGTCACAGTTCATTAGTCCCTGTGTGAAATAGTCATAGTCCATTGGAAAAGTTCACTACAGGGAAACTGCTGTGTGTCTCCACACTGTTATACCATGCGTTTACATAACCTAAATTTGCATGGTGCTTTACCATATCTCTCAATGTCTTACAGTCCTACTTCATTTCCACCTGGAGCACAGCCCTGGTTAGAGAGAGTAATACTGTAGTAGCATCTGTCTGGCCAGCGGGGACCCCGCTCCCTCCCTCCAGCCCAGGGGTCACTGCGCTACTGTGTGGGGGTCCGTGGGACAGGGGACCCCCGGATCAGCAGGAACACGGTCCAGCACTCCACAGCTCGAGCGCCAGATACAGAACAAATCGAAATGGAAAACAGCTAAATAGAAGCCTGCCACAGGAACATTCGCCTCCCGCCACCTCCCTTTTACCGCTGTGACATCGTCATGCGTTTTCAAAGTACAAGGCAGTATTGTCCACGCTTCCCGTCACAGCACAGGAATATCAGCTTGTCTCCACATGTACGGCCTGTGGGGGTTCTGTTCGCCAGTCAAGCGCGCTGTTTTCCACACACACAGCCAGGAGCACAAGACACACACGTCCCACGTTCCTAGGCGATAATAAGGGGAAGAATGAGGGTGAAGATTAGAGCGCTTCATACTGCAGCCACACCAATAGGGCTGCCTCCAGTGGGTGTCTGTGGTCCAGTAAAAAGAGTGACATGGAGAGGAATGTAAACCACTGCTCACACAGGGCAGGTCACTGCGCGTCTGGCAGGACACTGAGCCATGGATCCCGGAAGATGTTGACAAGGTCTGGGAGGCGTCATGTTCTAACAGCCCAAGGAAGAGTAACTAGGAGCCATGAAAAGGACCGATCACAGGAGGGCTTTCAAAGCTTTTTCTGCAGTGCAGAATTGGCTCAGTGTTTATCAATCAGCATAAAAATCTCTCCTGCAGGCCTCTCCTGCGCCCGCTGTGCGCAGCCTGAGAAAATGGCTGCAGCTATGTTGCGGAGCTGCCCTCATCTGCTCCGAGGTGCCACCTGTCTCACCAGCAGGCTTGTCCACTCTCTTCAATATTTAAAAAATCACTTCTAAATCAAACTGGATTTGACCTCCCCGCTGTTCAGTCTGCTTTCCCCATCAGACTGGAATATTAG